GCAGCAGTAGCCTGATTATCCAAGGTCAGCTGCTGCAGCTGTGAGCAATTTACCCACATGATTATCTGGTTTCTACCTCCCTCCATGTAAGGAAAAGATAGCTGGATAGCAGCTAAAGTGGTGGAGGGAGATACTTTATTTGAGTAAAGAAACGTTTTCATTGCATTTGTAAAGGTTACACAAAAGTCTCAAGGTGCTTGGTCATTGTTTGGGGAAAGGGAATAGTATATGTTATGAGCTAACCATTTTTATGGTTACAACATCTGCCAGGCAGTAGGACCGATGCAATGAGTTGAGGAATTTTTTTCCTAATCTTATGGAGCTTATAATTAGGGTCCAGTCATCTTTAGTGGGAAAGAGCCAGATTGCCTGGATTTGAATCTGGAATCTACCATTTATCAGCTCTTGTCTTCAGCAAATGACTTAACCTCATCTTTAAAATGAGAATAATTATGCTTCCCAACTCACAGAGTTATGGAGAGGAATAAATGAGTCAATGAGTAGAGCGATTAGAACACTGGCTGGCACATGGTAGGGGCTCTATAAATTTTAGCTGTTATTTACAGTTCATCAGATCGTGTACAATAGCTGGCATCTGGGGGCCATAAGAAGTAGACTGTTCAGAAAGCCTTTGCCAACTGCTATTATTGAATTTTCATAGCAGCTCTGTGCAAGAGTTACCATAGCAGCCCTGATACAGAGGGCTCACTTGTGGGCCTGGCCTGTGACTTGCATCTGGGAATTTGGCTTTTGGAAACTTCCCGAAGTTACCAACTGATAAGGCAATTTTACCCACCTGGTGCACTGCATTCTGCTATACCAGTCTGCCTAGATTGTTTGTACAAATGCTATGATTTATGGAGAACATGTGCTTTCCTTCTGAGAGTCTGGAATGCTGGTAGTTGTGCCTGGCCAAGCAGGCAGAGTGCCCCTCCATGAGCAACAACCCCAAAAAGCCTTGTATTTGAGTCTCAAGTGGGCTCCTCCCTGGGAAGAGACATTGCACATTTGTTATTGCATGTTCCTGCTGGAGGAAGGAGCCAGATCTACGTGACTCTGGGAGGGAGGACAGAGGAAACGTGTGCCTGGATTTCTTCAGACAACACCTGATACATCTTTTTCCCCTTCTGTGTGTCCTTTCACCATAATAAATCTTAGCCATGAATCCAACTATATGTTGAGTCCTTCTGGTACGTGGGGGAAGTTATATGATCTCCCCCGCAAAGTGAGTAAATAGCTCTCAAAGGTATATAATGTGACTCTAATTTCATAAATCTAAAAATCTAAGAAATGGAAGAATTGAGATGTCCACATGGCCATTTGGTATATGGAGTAGCTGAGACCAAGTTCCTGTCTGTCTCCCTCACAAGACAGCGTTTATTTCACTGTGTCAGGTAGCCACACCGAGTTATATACATCCTGGTCAAGAAAAATGTCTGTCTCGGCCACAGCACCTAGTAGCTACTGGTTAGCTATACAACCTTGGGAAAATATCTTAAAGGCTTTGCACTTCTGAACTCTTCACTGTAAAACTGTAATAATAATAATAATAATAATAATAATAATACCAATGTCACAGAATTGCTGTGAAAATTTAATAAAATTTTATATATATGTCATATATGTGAAGCACATACATATTAAATATTAAATGTATAAATGTAAAAAATTAAAATCTATATAGTATTTAGCTCAGTGCCTGGTATATAGTAAACCTTAATAAATGAAAAGGCTGGATAAATATGTGCATATGTGGCCAACATACATACATTTGTATCAATATATACATATATGCATGCATGTGTGTATATACACACACACACATACCTATATTGGCTTGTAAGTTAATGACTCATCTAACAAGTTATGTCTTGATTACAGAGCATCATTCACCATTCATAAATGAAGCCAGTTAGGATTTCACAGCGGGCCTGATTTTTTATGTCTACTGGTTTCAATCTAGGGAACCACTTCTGCTCAAAGCCTAACATCTGACTTCCTTTAATGTTTAACCTGTGAAGTTAATTATTAGCTACAGAATTCAGAGCTTTGCTTAAGATACTAACTGGTATTTATCATTAGCTCTAACATACACATACATGGTGACCATATTTTTGTATCTCAAACATAGAACTTGTAATCTAGCAATGAATTGCTATACTGGGAAACTGAGACTCTCTTGGAAACTCTGACATCTATGGGTGGAGAATATTTAATCCTCCTGAAACTATGGGAAGCAAACTTCTGGGGTTAAGATTTGCTTTTAGTAATGCCTTATTTTATCCTTTACATTGCAACTTTATGGCATTTTATGTTGATAGCTTTACAAAATTACAATGTGGTTGAAGTATAATTACTCCCTTTTGGGAAATCATTTGGAAATCATTCCGTGTCACCCCTTCTCTTCTCTCTGAAGATGTTACAGTATCAGTCAGTAAACTGTAGTATAAGAGGTTGATTTCCTCTGGAACTTGGTATCACCAAGTTTTCCATCCCTAGCAAAGATGACAGGACTAATTGTAACCCACATGCACTGTTTTTCACTGTGGAAAGCCCCACACTCCAACCAACTCTGAGTTCACACTTATTAGCAAATATCCATTTGGAAGTGATTACCCAAGTGGCCTCAGATGAACTCTTTAGCCTACAGGTGCCTTGGTTTCCTTTTCTATAAAATGATGATAATAAGAACACCTACCCTATGGTCAACAATACCATATTGTACACTTAAAAGTTTGTTAAGAAGACTGATCTCATGTTAGGTGTTCTTAACACAGTAAAATAAATTTCAGAATAATAACACAAAGAATATCTGCCACAAGTTAATATTTGTGAAATCATTAGAATGGTGCTTGCCACAGAGTTTAAAATGAATAAACAAAATATACAATCCTTCATCTATCATTTGCTAAATGCTTCTATATCCATCTTATAGTCTCAACAAGACTTGAAGCTGTCTAAGGCCAGAGACCACACTGGCACTCTACTTTCTATTCAGCTTCCCACCTTCAGTGAGCTTAGCCCTGCAGCAGACATATAAGGCCATCAATAAACAGTTGTGAGTTCGATTGTGACAGTGTGACATAGGGGAAGCCACCCTGGAATACACTGTGTGCCGTGAGTGCCTCTCTGACCAATGCCTGTAGGTCAGTGGGTTTCAAGATACTTGACCCCAACACACAACAACAATTTGTATGTGGCAAATTGATACACACATGAATATTTTCATATGTTTATATAATTATCTCACTGAAATCAAAGTTTTACAAAACAGTACTTAACCATACCATGTAAAATAGCTCCAACAGAAACAGGAAAGTATTCTAGTTAAATCCAGTCCAGTGCATGTCAAACTTTAAAGTGCATTCAAAACACTTGGAGGTCATGCTAACATGTAGATTAGATTCAGCAGGACTTGGTAGGATCAGAGAGTCTGCATTTCTATCATGCTCCCATGGTGACACTGTACCATCCCTGGACTGTACTTAGTATAGACAAATGCTGGGAATGGCTCTCTAAATTTATTTCACAGCCCACTAAAGGGTTGCAATCTGCAGCTGTAAATCACTTCTCCAAATAATTTTGAAAGTGTCTTTCATCTCTATAATCCCATTATTATCTTCCTAACCTCGGAACAGAAATCCTAGGCCTGGGTGGGAGTAGGGGTAGGGGAATTCACAGCAAGAACGACTCAAGTATTACCTTTCCTGTTGACTTTTATGCTGATATGCCTGTTTGGCTCCAGCCCTGTCCTCACTGTTCAAAGCTTACACCTTGTAGCTATGTTAATAAATTGATTGAGTACTCATTATGAGCAGGGCACTGAACTGAATGCTTTATATCTATCACATTTACTCCTACAACCACCTGTGTAGATATTGCCATTTTATAGATGAGAGAAGGCAAGTAGCTATAACTCATGGAGTTGGGATTCCAGAGCCTACGTTCTCGCGATAGCTAGCCTCTTAGATGGCTCCAGTGATCCTTGCCTCCTGACATTCACACCCCCTTTATAGTCCTCTCTCACATTGAATATGGCCTACCTGGTAGTCAGTAGAGTATTGAGAAAATGACAGTGTGTGACTTCCAAGACTCACTCAGAAGACACTGTGGTTTCTGTCTTGCACTCACTTAGATTATTCCCTCCACAAGAGGCCAGGTTGTATGTCATCAGAATTATCAAGCAGCCCTATGGAAAGTCCATACAGCAATGGACTGAAGCTTTCTGCCAACATCCAGCACCAACTTGTTAGGCATATAAGTGAGCCACCATGGAAGCCAATCCTATAGCCTTTCGCATCTCCAGACAACCGTAGCCCTTGACTGACATCTTTACTGCAATCTCACAAGAGACCCAAACCTAGAAATACCTCACTAAGCCTCTCTCAACTTCCTGACCCACAAAAACTGTGTGAGGTAATAAACATTTATTATCATTTTATACCTTTAATGCCTGGGGTAATTTCTGATGCAGCAATAGTTCCTAACCAGTAGGATAGGCCATCATCATTATGATTCAGGCCTAAAAGGAAAATGAAACTCCTATGAGGCCATTTGGATTAGTTGTTAATGACAACTGCACCATGGTTCAGCAAATTCTCATTCTCCCCCTGCAACCAACTTTGGGTGAAGCATCTACTTCCCATCTGGACTGGCCCAGATGACTTGCTGTAGCCAATTGGATATGGACGTTGAGGATGTTAGATAACATTTGGAGACACTGCAAGAATCTGTCTGCCCTCTTTAGCTTCTGCTCTCATTTATAAAAACAATATATCCCAGAGAGTAGATGTTCCTCTAGCCTGGGTCCCAGAGTGAGAATGGATGGCCAACCCAGCTGACCCTGAGCCCAGCTTGGAGACAAGCCAAGCTGAGCCCAAGTCCATGCAGAGGGACAACTGACTTGCAGACTCATGAGTGAGAAATAAATGCTTGCTGTGGTAAGCCATGAGATTTTAGGGTTGTTTGTTACCTCAGCCAAAGCTGAGCCACACACTCACCATGCTGTATGATGCCATGTTCCATAAGCCGGTGGCAAAGCTGCTCAGCCTCTTTCCTTGTCGTGGCCTCACCTTCCTGAACCAGCCAATCCAGGAATTCAGATGCCATGAAGGTGCGTTCATACTTCACCCCTTCCTCTTCCCTCGCTTGCAGAAGTGTGTTTTCAGGGCTCATCAGCCTGGGAGGAAGGGAAGGAAGGGAAGAAAAATAAACCTACATGGATGGAAAAGAGCTAATTTGAAATCCTACATCATAGGTTTCTGCGAAGTATCACAGCAAAGTTGTCAGACAGACAAGTGTGACTGTCATGTGCTATTACAAATGTAATGCTTAACAGAAGGATCTGCTTCAGGAGTGAAAGAGATGTGTTTGCTCCTGGTAATTAAGGGGGGAAAAAAAGCTGGTGGGGTGCCTGGCTGGCTCAGTCGGTAGAATTGCAACTCTTGATCTCCGGGTTGTAAGTGCAAGCCTCACGCTGGGTGTAGTGATTAATGAAAAAAAAAAGAAAAGAAAGAGAGAGAAGAGAAGAGAAGAGAAGAAAAAGAAAAGAAAAAAAGAAAAAGAAAAAGAAAAAGAAAAAAGAAGAACCTGGAAATGTAATCCAAAACCCACATTAGCAGACTGCATTTTGGTCAGCCACCTTGAAAAGGGCAATTTATTAGCCAAGCCCCATCACATCTTTTTTTAAAAAAGCTAGTATTTCTTTCCTAAAAGAGTCACTCAATTTCCTGAATCACTGGGCTAACAAGACGACTGCTATTGATTGAATGTTTGAGTCCCCTCAAAATTTATATAATCAAATTTGTCCAGTGTGATGGTATTGGGAGCTGGGACCTTTGGGAGGTGACTTTCATAGTCCCCATGATGGGATCACTGCCCTTGCAAGAAGAGACAGAGAGCTTGCTTCCCCCTTCTCTCTTGATGAGGGTACAAGGAGAAGACTGTCTGCAAACCAAGGAGAGGGCCCTCACTAGACACCAGATCTGCATGATGCTTTGATCTTGGACCCTCTCTGCTTCCCAGCTGTGAGAAATAAGACTATATTGTTTTAGCCACCCAGTCTATGGCATTTGTTACAGCAGTCTGAACTGACGTAAGCCACTCCTTCACAACACCCCCGTCCCCACAGAGCTTATTTCTCACACCTCCTTCTCTAGCATTCTCCAACTGCCCTCGCGTCTGTCCTCACCATACCTCTGAAAGAGCTCCCGCTGGTGTTGTAGTTTTGGAGAATACTTGCGTCCGTATATGATGGGCATTTATAGATCCCCGCTTTGTTTGATGTTAATAGCAATAGATGCTGCTGACCATTTCCCTCCTCCAGAGGGGCATTATATTCCCCTGGTTTCCCTCCTGTCCCTCTGTTCCTACCTCTTTCTCAGTTACCTTTGTGTTGGTTCCTCCTCATCTCCCTGGACTTTAAAGCCTGGAATTTCTTGTGATTCAATTCCCCAAATACCTCTTTTCTCATTGCATAGTCTCTCAGGGAGATTGTTTCATCCCTGTGGCTTCAATTGCCATCCATGCCCCAAAGATTCCCAAATTTATGTCGCTAAATCAAGCCTATATTCTCAACTCCAGACCTTGGTGTCCACGTGGACATCTCAAAAACACCTCTGAATCAACAAACCTAGAACTGAACTCAGGTTCTTCCTCCAAACCTGGTCCTGTGCCACTAGTACTTCCATCATCCCACCAGAAAATAAGGCAGCATCATTTATGCCTCCATCTTCCTCATCCCCCCAACTCCAGTCCAGACAGTCATATGAATTGTGAATATTATGTCCCAAATCATACTCCTTGTATGTCTAGGTCTTTCCATCTCCAATGGTGCCACTACCTTAGTCCAAAATACCAACACCCTTAACCCAGTTACAATGGTTTCTTCAATAGACTTTACTAGCTACCCACTCTTGTTCTCCTTGTAAACTCAGGCATTGAAGTCCAGACACAGCAATTAAATTTATCTTTTTTTCAAACTCAGACCTGATAATGTCCTAATCCTGTTGAAGATACACTTCAATGGTTTCTGATTGCTTTTAGACTAAAGACCAAAATCTTTTATGTGACCGATCTTTAATGCATGCACAATCTTTCCCTTTACCTCTTTAGGACCATTTTCACCTCTGACCTCATTTTGCTTCAGGGATGGTCTTCTTATAGTTCCTCAAACATATTATACATCACCTGCCACAGGGCCTTTGGATACGTCATTATTGTAGCTGGAATGCTGTCCCCCACCTTTCCACTGTTCTACTTCTTAAGCCTATTTGACTCCTTATCCTTTGTATCTCAGCTATCCTCGGGTCTCCATTAGGCCATTCATTGCTCCCTATACAGTTTGGGTGATTATCACATTAAAGACTACCTTGTCTACTCAATTATAAGCTCCAACAGGGTAGGGCCTGTGTTTGCCCATAAAACTTTGTTTAATGGAAAATGGAATCCGATAAAATGCCAAAATCATTGTGTCTTCTTTCTCTTTAAAACAATTCCTGATTAGGTTCCTATCTCTCACATGAAAGTCTTTCTTTTAAAAATCCTCATTTCTTTTCAAACTAAAAATAATATGCAACACAAGTACCATTTCATTCTAGAGCAGGAGAAAACCTTAGAGATCACTGTAATCCAATCCCCTCCTCATCCATATGAGAAAAATGTCACTCTCTAATATAACATTCTATATCAATTAAATCTGAATGCACAAAATGCAATTCTCATACAAATGAGAAAAAAAATGAATGATAGCATTCAATGTTTCAGGAAGGAAACCTGCTGAAGGTCATGCAAAGAGGCACATTATACATGTTTATAAATCATTTCATTTGGAGTAATTGAACCTCCATACTGACTGTCCATTCACAAGGTGTGTATTTTCAGTGCTTTCACACTTAGTGCCCAATACTGCTGTGGAAAGGATACTGGGCTAGGAATTTGAAGACTTAAGTTTATTCAGAATTGAGCACCTAACTGTAAGATACAAAACAAGCCACTTTTCTTTATTTCAGCCTCCTTTTTCTCAAGTGAATAATGTTATTTTAACCCATGATTATGACAAACAGCTGTACAGTACAAAAGATAAGGTATATGCAAAGTGTTACACTACTTAATGAATCATGGCGCCTACCCCAGGGCAGGATGGATTTGTGCCTAACAGCTATGAAATGACAAGGGAAAACCCCCATTCGCACTCCCTCCACTCTTCCCAGCAGAACCTTCAGAGCCCTATTATATGAAAGTCATGGCAGGGCACAGGATTGGGAGGTAGGAGGCCAGAGAGCCTAGCCACAAACTAATCACATAACTTCTCACTACTTCAGCATCCCCCTATTAAGTGAGGAAGAGAATACCTAATCTACTTCCTTTCCTGGATTGCTATCAAAAATCTTTGGAAAAAGAAGTCCTAAGTATATGCTTTTATATTAAGAGTATTTATAAAAGCTATCAGCATCTAAGAGAACTCATAAAAAAAAAAACTTCTTAGCATGGAACAGAACTCATTTAAAAATCTTTTTATTTAAAAAAATTATTTTTGTTTAGACCTTTCTCTAAGTCAATCCTCTTCTGTATTTTAATCCATCCTTAGAGAAAGCTCCTGGGCTGCTTTCCCAGGTTTGGTAACATCTAGTTGGTATGAGTAATAAGAATTATATTTAATATTACAGTGACCACGTCCTTCTAAGAAGACCAAAAGGGCAGATAAGAATCTAGAAAAGAGAATCAAAGGGCCTATGTGCATGCCCAAATTAGGAACACCACCATATCTTAATTTCTTTTGACCCTCAAATAATTGGTGTGAAATCGGTATTGGTATTTTGGTGTGAAAATAGAGGCAAGCTAGCCTCCTTGGTTTTCCAGTTGTAAACTTTATTTCCTCTAAGAAGTCTTCTTTGATCCCACAAATCTGGACCATATGCCACATCTAAGGGTTCCCATAGTTCCCTGCAAGATCTTTAGAGCCCCAGAGGAACTGCCTACTCAAACCGTACACCTTTTTTTAGATAACTGTCCTTACCTATGTGGTTCACAGTAGTTTCCTAATACAAAAGATCCTCAAAACATGTAGCTGAGTGAATAAATGCAACTCAATTATATGCATTCTCCTGCTCCACATCGTTATCCCTGACTATTAAAAGTGACCCCCTTAGCTATCACCAAGGAGGTAAGAGACAACAGATACTAGTGAGCAGGTGGTGAAAAGGGAACACTTTTATATTGTTGGTGAGGTTGTAAATTGGTCCCACCACTACAGAAAACAATATAGAGGCTCCTCAAGAAACTAAAAATATGTCTACTGTATAATCCATCAATTCCACTCCCACGTATATATCCAAAGGAAATGAAAACAGGATTTCAAACAAATATCTGCCCTCTCATGTTTATCACAGCATTTTCACAATAGCTAAGATATGGAACCAACCCAAAGGACCATCAGGAGATAAGAGATAAAAAATATGTGGTACATTAAAAAAAAGATGTGATACATATACACAATGGAATATTATTTAGCTAGGAGAAAGGAAGATATCCTTCTTCCCACTTGCAACAATGTGGATGGACTTTGAGCACATTATGCTGAGTGAGATAAGTCAGAGAAAGATGAGTATTATATGATGTAACTTATATGTGGAATCTAAAACATGAAATCTATAAAAAAAAGGGCGGGGAGAGTAAGTGGTGAGACTAGGGGACTAGAGGGGGTAGATGAGACTGAGGCTTAAGGGTACAAACTTGTAACAAGTAGTAAATAAGCCATAGAGAGCTAATACACAGTGTAATGAATATAGACAATAATATTGCACAATTATGTTATGTGATAAACATCACTGTATCCACAATCATACTGCAATATAGAAATGCATCATAGTAATACACTACACACTTTAAAGCTGCACAATGTTACATGTCAAATTTGTTTTTTTAAAAAAAGACAATCTAGATTAAATGCCATTTATCTGATTCAGGAAGTTTGACTTAGCAAGGATTCCTAAATTCTATGAAACATGATTATATAGTCTCCAACTATAATAAAACTAAGAAAACAAATACAGGCCAAAAAAACAAAACAAAACAAAACAAAAACCTAAAAACTGACCCTATATGCAGATGAGGTGAATCTAGAGTTCCTGCCCTATCGATACTCTCCATTTAAGACACAGATGGAGACGCTTGGCTTTT